TAGTGAAGTTCAAAACATAAAAAGAATTACCAGACAATATGTAGTCTAAATTAGCACAGTTAAAATGAACAAATCGAAGGGTCAGTTTCTAAGGAAAAGTACCTTCATATGAATACGATCGCTTCTAGGAGCAATACACAATGCTCGTGTGTGATGCTTCATTAACGGTCTACATTCCAAGCAATCGAGAGCCATTGCTCTTGCAAAGCAGTTCCAAGCGCAACAAGGGTCTGAGAGGGCGGATTGAGAGCAGCTAGACGTCTCCCTAAAGCATCCCAAACGTGCTCGATAGGATTCAAGTTCGGGAGTCGAGCTGGCCACAAAGGAAATGATCAACTTAAATCTTATTTTTAGTAAAAATAAAATGTCACTTAGTTACCTTAATTACGCAAATAACCTTCATTCTTATTATAGCTACCAATTGAATTTCGTGAAAAAATAAACAGTATAAATAACTCTATCATAACTAAATTTTATTTTATAAAACAAATGGAGTACAAACTTCATATTAACAAAAAAAAATGAAAAGAAATTTTCTTTAGTCCGAAGGGGCAATTTGCCCTGAAAGACTATTAATTTCGTTTTGACATTTTGCGTTGAAACCTATAAACAGCGAATAAATTTTCAAACTGTACATCAATTTATGCCCTGTATTGTATTAAAAGAATTAAATAATCCAAAACTCTTCATGATAGGTATGTTATCGTATGTGAAACAACGTTACCTAGAGCCTCAAAATTTGATAACGTAATCTCCGTAGAATACGGGCATGTGGAACCCTAATTTGAATTTGAAATTTGTTTTAACTAGATTTCATATTTTGTACACTTCACGAATTTTATTAAGAATATGAGATCAAAGCTAGCAATGGAAACTTATCTCCATCACGCAGACTGTTGAACGGAATTTATGTTTGAGATAGAACAGAATTTAATAAATAAAGATAACACACAAAACGTTAAAGAAACGCCCCTTTAGATGTAATTTAAAATCTGAATCCTTTCAGATTTTTTTATTTATTTAAAATTTTTTATTACTTTTGAAAACAAACGAAAAATAAATTTTATTCGAAATTTTATCATATTCACTCATCTTCCTGTGAAGTTGGAACCTCAGCCTCTTTTTGTCATTTCGTCATGTTCCCCATTTGACTTATTACGTGGGACGTTACATGAATACATATTATGCATAATAATTTTTTATGTTGATTTTCGATTAAAAAAATGCTTCAGACAAACTATTCTCAGTACACAATATCCTCATGTCTTTTTTTACGAATAATGCAAAAGGGAAATGGCCCCAACGGAAACGACTGTTTCGTCGCTAAACGCACAAATATCGAATGTTTTGGAGCTTGATAAGTTTCTGTGTTAATTTCGCTTTCCTTATCATTGTGGCTAGGTCATTCCCATCTTATCTTTCACCTATCACTACTCATACCATCCATCAGTTAACACGTCATATTTCTAAACAGCATTATACTTTTTTTAATCTTAAAAAAATTTTATACAAAAGTCATACAGTAATTTATAAGTTATGGTAAGGATGAAAATTAATTGGTACTTTGTCGTTATAAGTGAGTACCGTATATGGTTTTAACGCTGTTCTAAAATTTGTACGTTACAGATTGAGAGATTAAATGTGCCAGTTTTATCGACGAGGAACTTCGACTTTAATCGACGAGGACGAGTTTCATCGGCGGGGTTGGTTTAACAAGGAAGTATCGATTAATCTAACAATGGAAATGTTTATATAAAGATTTATTGTTAGCATTTAGTGAGAACATTTTTATTTAGAATATTTATCCAAAACTGTAATCAAAACCGCCGCTCATTGATTTCTTTCGAAAGCTGCGTATGGTTTTAAAGGATCAGCTGACGGGTGACTGTAGCATGAACAGTTCGGTTAATCGTTTCAGATTCGTTTTTGGTGACCGAACAGGTGTAAAAAAACTTTTGTACTTTTCCTACGTGTAACAAGAATACCAGACACTTTCTCTTAGAAAATCTTGCATTAAGACTATTCCAGCTTAGGTAGCTAGCCCAAGAGTGATTTGCTGTAACAATAGCCTAACCTTGTACGATATTTTTTGCTTCCTTGCTGCGCTCTTTCGTGGTATCTCTGAAAGCATATCCAGCCAGAAATCGGCAGAAAACCTCAAAAGTTCGAGTCCCCGGTGATGACACTGCACTTTTCTTCACATCTCCTACTCCAAATTAAAAATGTAAAACTAAACCAACGATAATTCGTTACCACCAGGGTTAACAATTAGGTCCCGACCTTCCTAGTCGCCATTTAATTGGGGAATCGCCATTTAATTAGAATGTAAGGTTGTTCGTCCTCCTTACTTGCATGCCTTCGTGGTGCAACTGGAAAAGATGTTCAGCTAAAAAATGGAAGGTCAGGAATTCGAGTCTCGGGATGGGCACTGCACATTTTTCACATCTTCTGCTCTGAAATAAAAATGCTTAATGGTCACCACAACCTAACCTTGAAGAGTTCGTCTATTAAAATGCTGGGAAAAGCAATGGAAGAAAAATTTATTGCCTAATGCCGCCTGTGACATTCATTCAGGAGGAAAAGAATCTTTAATTTACTAAAACTGAACGGAACCATTAAACCTGAGCACATTACAGATTTTAAAAATATATTTGCAAAAATATAAATCCATGATTAGAGAGAGCGGAGAGAAAGTATACTTCAATTTCTGGAGAGGTCTATAATATATATTTCCCAAAATGGAACATGTTCTTACGAAATGATAAATTTTTCTGAGTCAAAATAGACTCAAAAGTGTGGGTTTTTTTATTAAGAGAATGAAATCGGGCATAACATTTCTTCATATCCCATACAAGAAAGCAGCAAAAATTTTATACCCAGTTTAAAGGACAAATGATGCCAACCGGATTTGTATGTAATAACTAATGAAAGACTGTTCTCGTTTGAAATAATTTTTGTGCTGTTAGCACATGCGGCAGAAATAATTGAACAAACGATGTTTAAGGTAAGATCTTTTGTGAATTAAATTTCAACCACAGTATTCGTATACATGGCAAATTATTTTAAAAGCTAAAATAGTTTTAAAGGCAAAAAGGGTAGCTTGCGATACCTTCAAATAAAAAAAAATATTAAAATGCTTTTCCTTGTTATCTCTTAATCGTAATGGCAACCTTACAAATTTTTCGTTCACGTGAGAGTTGTTATGTACGCTAAATTAATTTTGTCTAAAAACATTTGAATACTGCTGACTTTTATAAATTGAATGTTGATCTCTATTTTACGTTCGATTAAACAACATCTTGAAGTTAAAAAATCTATTTGTTTATAATGGGTGCGCAGACTTCGAATCAGCAGAAGTCATATGAAAATGATACTATTGGTAAGTTTGAAACTTAAAACTGAAATTTTTGCCATATTTATAGAAATAATGTTAGCGTTCTGACAAAATATAGACCTATTTTGAATTTCTCTATTAAGACTGAAATTGCCATTCATCCATTTATCTGAATGCAAACTGAACAAATGTAGTGAAACCTCTCTAAAATGCAGTAACTAGTAGAAGGTTCATAGTATGGCTGGTTAGCATCATAAGCTTCTTCTACAGTGTGGTTTTTAAGTGATTGATCTGAACTAATAAGCATTAATTACTTTGTGTTATCAGATAAATTCCCCAATTTTTTCGAGGTGTAGTTTGGCTTTTTTCGTAATAAAGCTGTAGAGACATTAGGATTTTTGGAAGCAGGCAAGATGAAAAATTAGCAACGCCTTCGCCGGGAATTGAAACGCGGACCTCTCAATTTTACGCGCTGAGTGTGCTGACCACTACACCACGAAGGCTCCCCAAGAAGGTGGGAGAAATACCTTATAAAGTCATTAATTAATCGATTGTTTCAATACTTGCGTATCAGAAGAATATTAAAGCAAAGTATGTGACTAAAAGTATTTGTAATTTTTTACTTTGGCTTGAAATAAAGCAAATGTTGGCGTCTATTGATTTCAACGAAGACTAGAATTAATTAAATTTGTCAGTTTTCAGTTGGGGCTACAATGTAGGCTTATTATGTATGTAGGCTTGTAAAAATTATATCTGTGAAATAAAAATTGTCTATTTGTGTATAAAAACTGCCACTTTGAAAAATTGTATCTTTCAAGTAGTTGAAACATAAGTTAATTTTTTGTTTATATTTTATTTTTATCTTTGAATGATGCGTGCTGAATTTTATTTTGACATATTTGTAACTGTACGATTTTTAGTAGTTAGGTTCTGGCAACAGCAAAATATTGCTAGTTCTTCTTCTATTCTGTTTTCCTTTAAGAATAAATTACTCTTTGTTTTTGAGCTATAAAAAAGCTTATTTTTGTGATATTTAAATATGCACATATTGAATTTTGACACTTGCGGTGTAATAAATGTGTAATGTCAAACAATTTGGAGTTTTAGTGAATCGTTATTGACCCTGGAATACTTTGAGAGCCAATTATTTGTCAGCCACATTTCTCTGTTTATTGTCTTTCTAAAGAAGTCTATAAAGAATATATCTCCAAAAATCGTTAGCCTCGTAGTCTAACTCAAAATTAACCCATAAACTGTTATTTGTCCAAAACAATGACAGGAAAATTAACTGCAAATATAAATAAAAATAAATATTTTGCAAATGTTAGTGCTTCAATTTTATAAAATGATAAACCTTAAACCGTGAGGGTATTCTTCTGTTATCAGTACTAGATTCAGATATGTATGTATGTATGCATGGATGGATGTAAATGTTCATGTATGCATGCATATACGTAGGTATGTAGTGTGTATCAAAACTAACATATACGCACATACATACATACACATGTGCATATATACATAGATTTCTAAATCCGGTCAGGATAACAGAAGAGCACCAAAACTAAGACTTTTAACTCACAAACGTTAGTTAAGAGTAACTGTCTTAACTAACGTTTGTGACATTTACTTAAATTGATATTTTTCGTATTTTATTTCTTTGCAGTTAAACTTTATCTGGAACAAGCCAAGAAGGACTTTGAAAACAAATGGAACAATCCATCGTCGGTAAGTTAAATGTGGTGAATTCTCAGGCTCTACTGTAGAATTGCGTGCCCATTCGATTAGCGACAAATTTTGTTAAATTTTGGCGATGAAACCTCATTTCTGGTTACCATGATAGTTTTATCTTTGTTTTAGCTTCCTGATTTTTTTTAAATGAAAATAGATTGATGTGTACAGGGACAAAGTTAAGGTAGTGCGCAATGCCTAGTTTGTGCAATTCTCTGATGTTTTTTTAAGCGAAAATAGATCGATGTGTATATGGACACAGAGTTTGTGCAATTCTCATATTCTTAACTTATTTTGGTTTTGTGTAGCCGCTATCTTGAAATTGTGCCTTCCTGCCGCCGATCTTGGCGTCAAAAATAATTGCTAAAAAATATTGGCACCCAATTGTAAACTTTCTCGATTAACCAGGGACAGATTAACCAGGTTGCAAATTAATCAGGCATTGTCTAATAAGAAATTAAGTTTGTTTATTACGGAACGATGAAAAGGTTGCTATCATGAATAATCAGAATAAAACAAAATTTCTTCGGGATATGCGAAAGAGAGAAGAAAATGCTTGAAATAGCAGCAGTGTTACAAGATGATGTCATAGTATTTAAAAACCTATTTTTTCACAATAATATGTAACTTAAAAATCTGAAATATATAAATACTGTTAAATTATCAATTCAAATAAATTGCTACATCGCAAAAATAAATTAAGTGTATAACCTTAATCGGTACTATTAGGTTTCGAGGGCTGTAAAAAATCGCCAAATTATCGTTGATGCTAATGCTGCCAAAAATAATTGCGGCAACCCTAATAATTGCGGCGAGAAAGGAAGTTATAATAGTAAATAACTATCTAAGATTGATGTTTTAATTTAGATGACAGGTTAATTTCATATAATACATTTTATTATTATAATTTATATGAAAAAGGCTAAACATGACTGAATGGAAGCATAAGAGTAAATAACTATTTCAGATCATTATTATAATTTATATAAAAATTGCTAAACATAACTGAATGGATGCCTGCATCGCTACTTCGCTACCGACTTATCGCTAAAGCATAATTTTATCTCGTTGGTTGTTCAAACGTAATTTTCTATAATGAATGATGCCTTTTCTTTGAAAATATTCTCTTTAAAGTGCAGAATCGTTCACTTATTTGTTTGCCGCTTTTTACAGGGGTAAAAATAATTGTATTTTTGTCAATTTTCTTTTACTTTTTAAGTGAAAATAGGTCGATGTGTACATAGATAAAGTCAAGGGTGTGCGCAGTGCCATTTTTGTGCAATTCTAGGATTTTTTTTTTTAAGTGAAAATAGGTCGATGTGCGCATGGATACCGAGTATGTGCAATTCTTAAAAACGCGTCAAGCAGTGGGTGATTCTGCACTTTACCCCAAATTCTATTGCCGACTTTTCGTCATGTGCAATTCCCAAATTGTTAAATCCATAGGTTATCAAAGAAGGATTTAAAAATTAAACTAGTATTTAAATTGCGTCTTAAGAAATAGAGAACTATATAAACTTACGCAATCTGAAATCAACGCGTACGCTAGATTTGGTGCGCTGTTAAATGGGCGCGTTTGCTAGATTTGGCGCTTTTGCGCATACATTTTCGCTGCAATTTTCTTACGGCCCTCAAAACAGAATAGTACCCCTTATTGTTTTGTTTTCCGTTGAATCCTATAGAAAAACAGGAGCACTATAAAACAAAATATTGTTCATTCTGTCTTGAGGTGTGTTCCTTTAAATGCTGATTTAGTTTCATTTAAATGATAATCAAATGAACGTAATCTTAAAATTAAATTGATTAGAATAGATAAACTGTTCATAGTATTTTCTGTCAACTACAGTTACAATTTCCATCTTTCTCTAGTTTATCAGCTGCTGTCTTATTAAGTATGGTTTTCGGTTATTCGTAGACGCAGTACTCGGTATTGCTTCGGTTAGTCGGTAGTCTACTCAATATATTTTAATTCATTATGTTTTTACTTTTTAGCAATGCAATTATTTATTTGTTATTTAAACAGTGCATGTTAGTACAAATTATATTATTTAATAACCTTTGATCAAATATCTATCAGTATTAACTAATTATTCTTAAAATTTATGACAAAAATATTACCAGTGCTAAATAAATTTTTAAATAACTTATTAAAAATATAAATGGTGACTATTCTTAAACACAAATTATACCATTCAATTAAGCTGTTGTTAATTGACTTGCAAACTGAGCTAGGATTGTTAATCCATTGTAAAGAAATAGTTACTCCTTTTGTTAATTACTTTATGCTGCTAAAGATATTCTATGAAATATAATAGATTTTCAGTACACGTTTCAATACATTGTTAACTACTGATGTTATTTTGCATTTTCTTACATTATAAAATGCCACGAAAGATCATTGTCAAACATGAATATGTATCAAAGACAGCATATTATTTTCTTACGTGTCATGTTTTCTAAATAACAAAATTATTATCATATTGACTTTATACTTGTCCTTTGAGGTAGGTGGTTTGTAGGAAGCTCCACCATCTCGCGCAATTCCAAATCCGCGTACGATTTTTGACTCCTAAAAATTTAATAAATAGTACTGCTGTTGACCAGAAGCCTTACCGATAACGTGAGCAATACACGCTTATTATATATATTTACATGGTTGAGAAGCCTTACCAATAACGTGAATATGGTTGAGTGGCCTCACAGTTTTATATGCTACTTTACAGAAAACTAGTGGAAAATAGAGTTTTAGGGGGAAAACGAAAACGCATTTCTAGCTCTGCACTTTACTTATCCGTATCATACATATGAAATTCTGAATATAAATTGAATTATCCGTAATATCTTGAATTATTATTGTCTATTGTCTATATTGTCTAAATTAGAAGTATTGTAGATGTCATACTAACAATAAATAATATCATGGTATAAACTTTTGCAAGAAACAAATGCTTGAAAAATATACACTGCATATCAAGCAATCAACGTTTACTTTATTTTGTATGACTTTTTTCTGTCTTTTTTTTTGGGGGGGGGAACTTCCACAGAACAAGATGTACTTTGTATGTGAATTCGTGTATTATTTTGAGATTATTATTAGAGATATTATTTGAGATCCTTATTATTTGAGATGTGCTGGTTGAGTTTGATTTAATACAGAACCTCTCTTAAAATAATAAACCAGTTCAGAGAGATGTGAAGATTCTACTTTATTGAAATGAAGAATTGATCTGGCAGAAATAATGCGCAAACAAATACAGTTATGCTTTGCGTAATGAGCAAAATTTATTCTTCAGTGACATTCATTATGAAAATCACTTGCCATACAGGACGCTGGTTCGTAAGCCTGCTCCGAAATCGTAAAATATCATATTCTTAAGAATATTAAAACATGCCACGAATTAGTGGCATTTAGGATTAGTGGAGAAATTTACAGATTGATTAATTATGAAAATACTTAAAAGCTACTAGGTATGTGCACAGAATTTAAGTTTAATTTGAGTCTTTTATGAAAGGCGGAAATTCAGCTATCCTTCACCTTCTTGCACATCTGCCTTTGATTTATTTATTGAATATTCTCTCTTTGAAGAAATTGCCTGAATTGGTTTTCCTCTTCCTCAGAATACTTCTGAAGTTGTGATTAGTATTGTCGCTTAACAGATCAACCATTCTCTTTATCTCAGCTTATTGGAACGCCAATATTTATCTATGATCTAGACTTCTCTCTACTTTTAATGAAATAAGTTTTAATTAATTAATGCGAAATCAGTCCAACTTCCAGTTATACAGAAGGTCTTTTAGTTACAGTAGAGGATTCTGAATTCTCTTTCTGCCAATTACAGGATGTTTAGCAACATCCTGTAATTGGAAGGTTTTAAAATAAACCTGGTCCTGGTTTTAAAATAAAAATCTCGAAAACAAAGTTCGATAAAGGAATGTAAAAAGGCGGTATATTTATTGTGAAAGTTGTAAAAATGTTAGACAGAAATTTCAAAATAATAGCTACAAAAGCTGACAACAGATGGAGTTGTCATCGCAATACGTATTAGTGTATATAAATAGCGCACCAAGACTCAATTCCACCTTTGAAACGTGAAAAGAGGCTAGCGTACAAAAAGAAGATGTTGAAATCATGTATTTCATTGAACAAAGGTTAGAACACAGTCCTATGGCAACAAGGCTTAACTTTCAGACACCATTTTGTTTCCCAAAGACCCCATGTGAAAACCAGTCTCAAGCTCTTCGCCAAATTCCAAAGGACAGGCAGCGTGGCCGATGATCTGGTAGGGAATATTGGTCATAGGCAAAATGTAGTTACTCCTGAAAATGTCGACTCTGTTTCTAAAATTATTCAGCAAACTCCAAGCGAATTCGTCCTAATAATTATAGCAGAAACTGGCTTGAAGTGTTTTAGCATGCAGAAAGAACTGAGAAACAGCTTAGACATGTTTCCATTCACAATCCAAAGTCATTAGGCCATACCCGTACAAGCTGAACGACAAAGGGCAGACCATATTCCACAATGGTTGCTAGTGAAGGAAATTGATATTGGCTGTATCTGGTTCACAAATGAAGCACACTTCCACCTCAATGGATTCGTAAATAAACAAAAGTGGCGATTTTGTGGTTTCGAAAATCCCCAAATTGTGTAAAGCGAAACCATTGCATTCTTTCAAAGTTATTGTCTGAGCTGTGGTAAGCAGCAAATTCATAATAGGCATAATCATCCCTCTTTTCATGCAAAAAACATTCACTAGTGAACGTTACATTGCATATTTGGAATAATTTGTCGCCACAAAGCTAACGTTGGAGGATCGACCAGGCGCTGACTAGCCCGACCACTAGTGTTTTATTTTTCTTGATGAGCACTTCTAGAATAGAGTCACCGAACGGATCACCACCACCATATTACCGAACAGGTGTTTTACTTCTCTTGGTGAATAGTGATGGTTTTCGAGAATACAGTCGTTGCGTTGGATGATTCCAAATTTACTGGCGCAGGCACGGATTGGCCTCCATATCTTCCCAATCTGACTCCTTGAGACTACTTTTTATGGGGCATACTGAAGCCACGAAAGAAGGCGAGAAGGAAGTACCAAAACATATCCACGCAAGTCTCAGTTCTGCATAATTGAAGAGACAACTAAAAGGGAAAACGGTAGGCTCAGATTTAAAAAAAAACGATGATAACTCTTAATAAACAGCAAATATCCTTCAACAGAAGAGTTTGCCGTGACAAATTATTCACTGAACACTAAATAAACCGACATATCAACAAAAATGTTTTAGTAAAAAGAAAACACTTTGAATGTAAATAATTTTAACCCCAGAATTTGCAAATTTCTTTTAATATTAATTGTTCACAAAATAAAAAATTAATTACAGTAAGAAACTTACTTTTTTAATAGTAAAAAAACATTTATTACATTTTCCATGAAGGATTTATGGGCCAGCGACGATATTAAATGATTTTGTAATTGCAAAATACGTATTAAGGCAGTTTAATTGAATATGAATAAATATAGTTAACTTTCTCATTACGATCACCTACCTGATAAGATAATCTTTGAAAATATACAATATTTATGAGAACATAAATAAACTTCTGTGTGGAACGTCAGCTGTCTAAGATGACTGCCTTTCCAAAAAAGCAAAACTCATCTGGAACCGAGAGTTTTCACTCTAGAGAAGTTTCACTATAATTATACTTTTTAAACAGGAAAAAAATTGTTCTTTTAAAACATGTTTTGTGTTAATACTTGCTCTAAGACTTGAAAGTATTGTCATTTTAAATTTTGATTCGTTTTCTTATTTAGAACACAGCTCGTCTCAGCCACTTCGAGAGAATCCAGACCCTAGGTACTGGTTCCTTCGGGCGAGTGATGTTGGTTCAGCACAAAGAATCCAAGAAATATTATGCGATGAAGATATTAGACAAGTTAAAGGTACCGGAGCATTTTTTCGTGTTTGATATTGTCTGCGAATGTTTTGTTATGGGGGAAAAAGCAAAGGATGATGGGAGAAAGTGAGAATCTTTCCTCTCAGCAGAAAAAAAATAAGAATTAGAACAATACCCGTTACGCAAAAGAAGCCGTGCTGGTCGATATATGCATCTAAATATGTTCTCCCAGCGTGCAACACATAAATATTTTTTGCAAAAGGATACTTTAATAAGAGCACTGAACCCGAATAACGTTATGTAGGCTTGACTTGAGCGTATTATCATAGTTATGATTAAATTACTCGTGTAAATTTAGTAAAAGTTATTTTGACCGGTGGAGAACTTTATTTAATCTTAAACAACCATTTTCAATAAAGCACTTTTATTTAAAAAAAGGTGGTGAATTATATTTTTATTCTGTGTATTATTTTAATGGTATGTTTAATATTAGATTTAAGCTATTTCACAGTTAACGTTTTATGTACGATAGAAGAGAAATAAATCGGATTAAACAAGATCACAATCCATTGGACTAATTTAAATTCACATCTTTTTCGGGGGGGAAGCCAAATACTGTATTTACTGTAATGTAAATAAGGGCTATATATTTTTTCATTTATTATTTTATTTTATTAAAGATACTGTTAAAAATATCTATATATTAAGTGAAAAATATTAAAGTTTGTGTGTTGTTTGTTTTACCTTTATTATTAAAAAATCTATACGGCGTACGCCTGAAGGCTGCTTAAATGTAACATATTGTAGCTATGCCGTTTATTCAGAAACAGGTTTTCTTACATGATGTGAGAGAGTACGTAATGTCAACATATTTGTTTAATCTGTCTGTAAGGTATTTCTCCCGCCTTCTTAGTGTAGTGGTCAGCACGCTGGGCGCGCAGAGGTCCGTGGTTCGAATCCCAGCTCGGGCACTACTGTAGAGACATTAGGTTAATTGGAAGCAGGAGAGATGAAAAATGAGCAACGCCCTCTTTGGGAGTCGAGCCACGGACCTCTGGATACGCACCCCATGTGCTGACCATTACACTACGAAGGCATGCTAAGAAGGCGGGAGAAATACCTTATATGTCTTTAGAAAGAAGGACATATTAAGGATAAGAGGAAGCAAGCGAAAAACTATCAACTACTGTACGGTGTGTTTTATTAATGCTACTTGTTACATTCAAGTTTATAGGCTACCTAATTTTCAGATGTTATAAACCGAACGTATATGTTTTACAAGTTAATTTAAATTAATGCAAAAACTTCTTTAAAAAGTACACGGTGCTGTAGTATCTCTGTATACCATTTGCACTAAGGAAAACATCAAGGGGGAAAACCTAAGATCTCTTAAATGATTCCTCATCTGAATAACACATTTAAACATGCAAATATTTATTAAGGCATCTAATTATGCAATCTAATTATGAAATCAAATGCTGTTCTATACATGGTATGGAAATAAGTATGAGAAACCATGTAAAAGCATTCGCTAGCTACATGAATACTATATCTTCTGTCACTTCACGCATTTAAAAAGTACGTCTGAGGAAACCATGTAAGTGTATCCGGTCAGATAAGAGGGTTAAGAAAGTTAAGAAGAAATGTCATCGTTTTCCAGTAACACTAATAAAGCACTCTATGATTTTGGCAGATCAAAAATTACAATACAATTTCAATTATTCAGATATTTGGATCAGTTGTTCTTTGTAACTAAGTAAAACTAAGCGTTTTTCTAGTTTATTTAAGTGCATTTATACCTTTTGCTGATCTATATAATGCAAAGATGTCAGCAATAAATTCCGCTGGGCGAAAAAATACATGGGAGTCCAAAGAGATTTCCTTTGTATTTTGCTAATCATTATCAAGTTAAACTCAGTAATAGGAATATTTATATTAAACCTTTGATTATGTGGTACTACTTAAGGCAGCAGTTTTAAAGAGCACATTAACAACCTTTCAGAGAGTAATATTTTTAATTATTCCTCCAGATTGCATTGTATAAGCAGTCTTACATTAATTGGAATTGGAAATTAAGAATGAGTTCATTTGAAAACTAGTTAGCCTTTCATTGTATTTCAGGACCATCAGCGTCAAAGTTATTAGACGCTGGTAGTTCGCCCTCGACCCAAATCTCGGCAAATGGGCTGACTGCATGAGAATTTTCGTTATTTACCCCATGCGTAAAATGATCACGAGCCATCTTTCTTCAAAATGTCCTGTCCTCAAAAGGTCTGCCCAGTCTTGGCAATTCTTAGTCTTACTAGGTAACTAGCTTCAAAAGTTTTTTCATTTGAAGTAACAAAAGCCTTTCATTATTTGTTTACTAATTTTCCGATAATTTCCTCTTAAAGTACTCTTCAGACTTATCCTTTAAATTAGAACGGTTAGATTCAAGATGACGTTTAAGAAAGGATGTTTTCATATTTGATTTAGATAATACACTGGTTATCATAAATTAAGGAAAAATCACAAAATTAGCGATAACTCTCTCAAAAATAAGCCAAACCGTGTAAAATTTGAATATATTGCCAAGTAAGAGCAGCTGAGTAAAACTGCGATATGCAAATTAGTGGCGCTGCTTTCGAAATACGTCATCAGCGAGGAGCATAAAAGTCCATGTTTGAGAGCAAGCCCACATATTTCACTGTGACAGTGACATCAGAAATCTGAGATAGCCAATTCGTAACAAGCCGTAACTCCAGGCATCATTTGCCTGCAGAACTGCGATAGAGAGCCATTGGGAGGCTTAGAGGCAGGACAAAGTTAAACAGAAGTGGCCAGATGGCTAAATGTGAGTCCTTCTGTAGTTCATAGATTTTGGAGGCAATTTCAAAACACAAATTCGGCATCTAGGAGGTTCAGCTAAGGACGACCAACTGCTACGAAGAGCGCCGATGACCAATATTTGACATTATGTGCACGCAGGAATAGAACCGCTACTCCGACTCATCTTAGATCCTCCCTTGCTGCAGCCACCGGAAGTTTGGTGTCAACGTCAACTGTGCGTAGAAGGCTTCACGAAGGTGGTCTGTATGCGAGTCGACCAGCCATTTCTGTGCCGCTCACGTCACGCCATAGGAAGGACCGTTTTCAATGGGCATGACAACATGTCCACTGGACGCCTGATCAATGGAGGGCGGTTCTCTTTACGGATGAGTTCAGGTTTAGTCTAGAAAGCGATAGTAGGCGTTATTTGATAGAGAACCTAGAACCCGTTATTATCCGTCAAACATCCGTGAAAGAGATGCATACGGAAGGGGCCGTGTCTGCGTTTGGGGTGGCATCTTTTTAGGTGGACGCACAGACCTCCATGTCTTTCCAAGAGGAACCGTGAATGCTCGTGTTTATAGAGATGACATCCTTGGTGCTTATGTGCGCCCATATGCTGGGGCAATAGGTCATGCTTTCCTGTTACAGGACGACAACTCAAGACCACACAAGGCTCGCATCGTAGATGATTATCTTCAACAGGAAACAATTATGCTGAGTGGCCAGCTCGATCCCGGACTTGAATCCTGTCGAGCACGTTTGGGATGCTTAGGGAGACGTCTAGCTGCTCTAAATCCGCCCTCTCAAACCCTTGTCGCGCTTGCAACGGCTTTTCAAGAGCAATGGCTCTCGCTTCCTGTGGAATTGATGGACCGCATAAATGAAGCATCATACATCGCTGTGTGTGCTGTATTGCTTCTAGAGGCGATCATATTCCATATTATTATTATTATTATTATTATTATTATTAAAAGAAACACAACAAGTTCCCCATGTACCACATAGTACAAATACCCATGTACCACATAGTTCCCCATGTACCACATATTCCATATTGAAGGTACTTTTCCTATAGCAAACTCACACCTTCAATTTGTTCATTTTATACATGTGCTAATTTCTCTACTACCATATTTGTCTGGTAATTTCTTTTTATATTATTTGATAGCTTACTATGTGTTGTATATTGTAGGTAAGTTTCATTAAATTCTACATGCAACTTTTTCAGTAATCGTGGTTTTTTTTTTTTTTATTTTTCCTTAATTTATGATAACCAGTGTAGTTCACTGTAAAGAGCACACTGAGGTTGAGGTTCGATTTCATCTCCATTCCAAGTAAACTCAAATGACAAATAGCTTTCACTATATTTTATGTAAACAATTTTTCTTTTCTTTTCAATATTCTTACTGCTAGTAGATTGTCCTGCATCCATCAGCTGTGAGTGAATCATCACTTTTTCGCTTAGTCAATCCTAGCCATTTTTCCATTTTGAAAATCTAAGTTTCTTTTATTAATTTTCCACAAATATTTAAATGCAGAATATATTACGAGTTCTTCAAAAACAACGACGATAATCTCAAATCGTGCAGAAAAGTAAGGAATACAAAGCAACGGAAATATAAAATACCTGCTGCATGAGACGGCAAATGGACGTAAAAAATTATTCTATTTAAAAATAGAGTAATACGAGTCCAGAAATGGTGGCAAATAAAGTTCAGACATGTTAATAAATCGATCACCTCTAAAAGAATTAATAAGGTACTATTATCTTTTTATAGGAATTTACTTTTATTTCCTATTAAATACAGCACTCATTCCTATTATTCCTTTTAAAAACATGATTTATGGCAAATTTTGCTATGTCTATGGCTAAAAGAGTATTTGTGAAAATAAAAAAGGATTATTTTGCTGAAGTCTATAAGCGGCTATTAAACAAAGTTCAGATCGCATAAATTTACGAGTGTTAAAGAAAAATACTTAAACGAGATGTTTGCCTATTTAATTTTTTAATTTAATAGTTAAAAATTATTTGTTTCTTTGCATACCACCGGTTGAGAATCGCAGCAGTTACGGATTGTATTTTACTCATAACGGTCTTTATCTAAAATTCAAAGGACTACGGTGGAAAACACATATCAATATAAATGTCATACTATTTGGTTTAGAAATTTGTTTCATCATCTATAGATATACGAAAACAACTTTCATTTCGTTTAGACTTCATGTAAATACGAA